AATTATATAGTCACACAACATAAATTTGAGATCGTCACAAAGTGATAAATGTGATAAAGAGAAATTCCACCATGCTACCAATGTCCACTTTGTCTGGTTTTGTTGTAGCATGCCCCATTTGATGAAATAAAACGTTCCGAGTTTTTTATAATGCATAGTAAATTATTTTTTAGAAATTTTTCAAAGGGAAATATTGTGAATTCCATCTAAAAATTTTTTTTTTTCAAGGATAAATTTTGTTTGTTTAAATGATGAGTTCATGCCAAAGATTTATGCCATTTCTAATTTTTAAAGATAAAATGAGGTTTTATAATTGGACCCTGTTATTTAATAAATCATTTCCAGTAAGTCGAAACTATATAGTTGTTTATTAACATATAATATTGTTACCAGAATTAGGATTTAATGCTAAATTGTTAGTCGAAATACCCTAATTCCGAATCAAATCTTTTATTTCTATTTTTACTTTATTTTACTTTATTTTATATCTACATTTATTTATTTCATTTCTTATTTTATTTTTATTCGTATTTATTTACATTTTTATTATTTTGTTAAAATGATTCAAGAAAAAGTAAGTTAAGCTATCTATTCTTTTATGAAGATTTCTAAATTTTAATTATAGATGAATTGTCCTTTTCGAATAAAATTGAATTATTGACCAAGATATTCAACATAGATATAACGCAGATATTGAATTGGATCCAATAAAATTTTGCCAATTAATCAAGGAGAGTGGACCAAAATTAGAAGGATTTTTTGATGAAATGTTAAATATAATTCCTGCTAAAAAAGCAATAGTTGGTTATTGTTATCTTTTAGCAGGTTTAAGGAATAAATTTGTAAATACCTTCAAATTGGACCTTGGTCTTTATTTAGCAGAAAATGGTACAAGTGCTGCTGCAATTGAGACATTATCAAATGCAGGTATATCTGCATCATATAAAACAATTGAAAATTATAAGAAAACAATAAAAGCAAACCATCCTAAAGAAATTGAAAAATATTTTGCCAATAATGTAAGTTAATTGAAAGATTAATTTTATTTAATATTGATGATTATCATTCAATTCATGAATGGAGAAGACCTAATTCTACCTCATTATCTTCAGCAACACATATGGCAACATGCATTGCTAAAAGATAGAAAATGTTTTGGCAATTCCTGCTAATTGCAACAACATACCACTCTTTAATCCAAAGAATCAACAATCATTTACAGATTAATTAATGATTATAAAAGTCATTTTGATCTAAGTTATAATTATATTAAAAAAGAGTGGATCCAAAATGAAATGATAAATGAGAATGATTTTGACGAATTAGATCATTTATCAGTGCACCTATATAATGCAAATATTGAAGAAAGGAAAGAAGGGAGATCAATGAAAACAGTTAGAATTTTAGATATAAAGGAACAAAATCTTCACTCTCTAGAAGACTACCTTACTGCAATTAAAATGATTACAGATATCAAATCACTGGTGGAATATATTAAAGCACATCCTATACCTATAATAGCAGACTTTTCAAGGCAACTTTTTATAAGAAAAGCAATCACTTTGTATTTAAAAATCAGCAAAATAATATTCAACAAAATAATCAGGATTGCATACTTAACTTTATTCCAATTTTAGGACCTTTACATGTTTCTCTTAATTCACATGAAGATGTTGTTATACTATATCATGATTTTTTCAAAAAGTTATATTGTAATGTTTTTGAAAAGACGAAATTTCCAGAAAAACCCAAACCATGGAAGATTAATTATATTCTTCAGTTTGCACATGATGGTTGGTTAGAAATTTCTAATATAATTGTGGAAAAATTTGGAAAGACTAAAGATACAGAGTACAGAATAATGATAGATCTGTTAGATAATATTATTCCAGCAACCTTGGATATATATGCTGTACTTTTTCGATCAGGAGCCTTTGAACAATATGTAGAGACAATTTTTAGAATCTGGACTTTTTTCCTAAGATGGAAAAGAAGAAATTATAAAAAACTTCCATTGGCTTTCCTATCAGATTATTTTTACTGGAAAAATAATAATCACCCTTTTGCCAAATTATTGGAAAATTCATTAGTCAATTTTAATGATTACTTTGTTGAAAATGTACATAATAGAATAAGAGCCCAAACACATAGGCTTTCTTTAGCAGAATCAATTATACAGGAAGCATTTATAATAGATTCTCACAAAAATGAATCATTTGCCAATGCCTTTTCAAAAAGTAAAAGATATCCATATACACCAACAGCTTTAAACTATTTAAAGAAAAAAACAAGTTGTTTTTTGATAGAATATTTTTTCTTGATTTATAGAAATTTAAATAACAGTCAGCCAGTCTTCAGCAAAAAAAAATTAATAAAATATAAAATGTGCACCTTAGATAAAATAGTAGATATAAAATTACTTCCCTCTGGATATCATACAGCACATCCTCCAGAGAAAGATAAATGTGATCATTGTGATAATAAATTTGATCCAAATCTTCCTGAATGCGATGAGGAAGTATTAATTTGTGATCATAGTTACCATTATGACTGTTTTGAAATGTTAGAAAAATGTTGCAGTCATTGTACAAGATTTTATGAAAATGGTATAATTGATAATGTTGCCTCTTTCCTAAAAACATTAGAGAAAGATGATTCAAAAATATTAGAAAATAATAATGAAAATGACAAAAATTGTGAAGATGATAATGATGATGATCAAGAATCAATCAAAAACATAAATATAAATGAAGTCATAAATAGATTGCTTACAAATGCTAAAAATGAAATAAAAAATTGGTAGATTGTTTATATAATAACAAATATATTTTTAATAAAATTATTTATATGTTTAAGTAAATTTTACAATTTAATATTTTACATATACACTCCCCTACAAAAAATATCTGACCACTTGTGCTGTGTAATGTCAAATGAAAAAAGTACTTGCTAAATAAAGTACGTTTTCCTAAATAAAACCTTTTCTGCTATACTAAGTAAACTCATATTTGATATCAAAACTCTATATTACAAAAATTTCAAACAGTTCAGTATGGTATTAATGGAAATATTTAACAAATCATCCAAAAAAGAAAATTTCCGATTGAATTTTTACATGTAATAAAAGGTCAAATTTTTTTGTTGTAATGTATATTATTACCTTAATAAAACGTGTTTAACATAACAGATTACATATATTTACAATACGGTGTCAGCATAAATTAGTTTATGAAAAGGGTTTAAAAAAGTATCCGACCACCCTGTAATTTTATCATATAAAACACTCAATAAAGTTGACAAAATGCAAATTTTAAGGCTTTACGTTTTGTTGTCTATACTTGATCAAATTTTCTCAAATTTTAACCATTTATAATTCAAGGTATTTTAAGTGGACTTACTTAATGACATAATTCATGATTCAACAGAGTTTTGAACTTTTTTACTAAGCTCAAAGTTTTCATAAAAACTACAAATTTTTTGCCTAATTTAAAATTTTCATCCTAATAATGCAAACTTGACAAAACTTTAAGTTTATATTCAAATTGACTTTAAAAACATGTTTACTTAATGCACCAGTCCCGGTTTGATTAATAAAATTTTGAACTGCATGAGGTATAAGTTTCCCAATTATTAAAACGATTGTCAGATGGTCAGATATTTATTGTAGTTGAGTGTATATGTGTGTGTGTGTGTATATATATATATATAACTATAAAGAAATATCTCTATAATAAAACTCCACAGGTATTGACGTATTAGAGATGCCACATGTTTAAGCAACAATATATGTTTAAGGAAATTCTACAATTTAATATTTTACATATATATGTATGTATATATATATATATATATATAGCTATAAAGAAATATCTCTATAATAAAACTCCACAGGTATTGACGTATTAGAGATGCCACATGTTTAAACAACATCTATGTTTAAGTAAATTCTACAATTTAATATTTTACATATATATGTATATATATATATATAGCTATAAAGAAATACCTCTATAATAAAACTCCACAGGTATTGATGTATTAGAGATGCCACATGTTTAAACAACAATCTATGTTTAAGTAAATTCTACAATTTAATATTTTACATATATATGTATATATATATATAGCTATAAAGAAATACCTCTATAATAAAACTCCACAGGTATTGACATATTAGAGATGCCACATGTTTAAACAACAATCTATGTTTAAGTAAATTCTACAATTTAATATTTTACATATATATATATATCTATAGCTATAAATAAATACCTCTATAATAAAACTCCACAGGTATTGATGTATTAGAGATGCCACATATTTAAACAACAATCTATTCTTGATTTTACATCTAATGGTAGTGTCTCATCTGTGATTGTATTGGGAAAAAGTTGTTTTTTAATAAAGTGAAGTTATTATTTAAAATTCCTTCGCTTCTAGTAAAAATTTGTGAAAATTATTTCATTAGAGATGCCACAAGTAGAAACTATACATTTTTTTTAATCTCGCATATAATTACGAAGTTTATTTGAAAATTATTATGTAAACAATTTTTTTGTCAATTGAAAACATGATTTTACATATACAATCTACTTTAAAATTATATAGTCGCGCAACATAATTTCAAGATCGTCACAAAGTGATAAATGTGATAAATCGAACTTCTATCATGCTGAAAATTTACTGATTTTTTGTTTTTTAACAAAATAAAAATTCACAATGTCAAATTCTATTCCTTCTCAATTGTCATCACCACCACATAATGTTGACTTAAACTCAGATAATATATCTGAAAATTCATTCAACAATAACCAACATTTAGCAGGATGTCCTATATCTGATGTATGGTCACATTTGTTAAAGGAGAGGAAAAAACAAAAGGACATTACTCAGCATCTTGTAAATATTGTCCAAAAACTTGGAATTGTGGAACACCTTTTA